TCATTGCAGTTCAATTCATAATTGCCAAGTCATGGAAGAAGCCCAAGTGCCCATTGACCCATGAATGGATTAATAAATTGTGGTATATGTATTCCATGGAATACTATATAGCATTAAAAAATGAAGACTTTACCCCTTTTATGTTTACATGGATGGAGCTGGAAAATATTCTTCTTAGTAAAGTATCTCAGGAATGGAAAAAGAAATATCCAATGTACTCAGTACTGCTGTGAAACCAATTTATAATCACTCACACTTGCATATGAAAAATGAAACACGACTATAGCCTAGGATGAGGGAGGGAATGGGGAAGGGAGGGGTTGGGTCGATAGAGGGAGGGTTAGTGGGGGGACCACACCTATGGAGCATACTGCAAGTACATGTTGGATTTATCAGTTGTAGAACACAAATGTCTTAATGCTGTAATTGGGTAAATGAGGTGAAAGCTATGTTGATTAGTAGGATGTAAGCACTCCAATTTGTACAAATAATCAACACGTTGAATCCCATAATTGCATAAATGTATTTATGATCTATGTACAAATGACTTAATAAAAAATGTACATTTTAAAAATATATCTAAATGAAGTTTCTTGAATGTGCCCTTATTACAGGTAAATTAGTGCCTCCTTTCAACATGAAAATATTCCTCACCCCTGAGCTAAGGTTTTAGTGGTAGGCTCTGGCAAGAAGTCATATCGAAGATTACTTGGGTTATTGGCATAATACATTTCCTTGCAAATGTAGTTCCCAGGTCTTCATTTACTTGTTTGCTGTTGATTGGAGGTGTTAACTCCAGACACCTCTCATTACTACTTACACGTGGGCCCCTACATATCAGAGTCAACAACTAAATCATTCTCATGCATGAATGTCTCAACATCTCTTGCTACCCAATCTCTAGTCCCTGAAGTGAGAGAAAGTTCTCTGCTTTTAAATGCTCATGTGATTGAACCCACTTGGGAAATTTAGGATAACATCCTTGTTTCAAGCTCCATAACCTTAATTACATTTACAATGTCCCTATTAGTAAATAATTCAATATTTTCATAGGTTCTAGAAATTAAGGATTAGACATTTGTGTGTGGACTTTCTGCCTACCATGCTCATTTCTTTGATCTTTCAAAATAATTACACTATGACTATACTAACTTAATAGTGGTTCAGTGTCGTTAAAAAAACTTGGAGGAGTAGAAAACTGTTGCCTTTTCATTTAGGCAGTAGGGATGAAAGATAGAGAATGCATAAAGATGGAATTGTTATCTTTCTTATTTCTCCTTGTTTGCTTGTAGTTGTTTTTCTTTTCTTACCTTTTCTTGTCTCCCCTTATTTTTTGGGAAAGAGTGAGGGATAAGAAAGGATTAAGAAATGTAGAAAATAAAACTTGAATTTCTAGAAACATTTTTTCTTTTGATTTCTTTCCTCCCCTCCCCTTCTTTTCTTTCCTCCCTTCATTTCTCTTTTCTTTTATCATATCTTGTCTCCTTTACCCGTTTTAAATTTCTCATAGACTTTTTCACTGCTACTTTCCTTTCTCCTTTTTTTCTTCTCCTTCTTCCCCCTCTCTTTCTCTGCATCTTTCTCTTTTTACTTTCATTTATTTTTCTCAAAAGTAGGAAAATAGAACAAAACTTATTAAAGGTAGAATTTATTGAACAGAAACCTTCTTGGGGTTTTTTTACAAGTACTTTTTCCCCTTTATCCACAAGTGATGCTCTATTTTATGTGGGTAGAGAGTCTTAATCTCCTTGATCATAGTGGGGATTTTTAGAGACCACTTCAAAAAGCTTTCCCATGATATTGTGATTTTACTATTTGAAAATTATTGGTGGATATAAAAGTCATGAATAAAATCAACATGAAGACTGAAAATATTTGAACCATGTTTAGAGTTGTAACTGAATAAAAAGCTTATCAAAGCAGGGCACCTGTGTTTAAAGATTCAGTTCAATTCAATAAACATTTAGGAATATGGTCATTGTGTTGGGGTGGAATATACAAAGCTATAAAGACTAGGATCCTGCTTTTGAGAAAATTACTCCCTGTCTGTGAAGAAAGTGTAGAGAGGGATAAGGTAGATCTAAGAATTGAGAGGCAGATATCAGGATAAATGAGGTACTTTGGGATTTCTTCCTCTAAAGACTGGTCATGTGGGAATATGTAAGAATCAAGGCAATGCATAGAAACTGAGAGAAGTTTCTAATCAGAACTACTAATACCAATCAGACACAGACCCATTTATGAATATACCAAGTGAAGAAGTAATGGTACTTGCTAGGGCTAGGGGTAAATCATAACCAAGGAATCAGGCCTGATGGGAAATGAAACCCAAGATCCTAGTCTACTATTAATAACATACTCTATTGGCAACTAAGCCATAATGCAGTGGTTCTCAACCTTCCTAATACCACGAACCTTTAATACAGTTCCTCATGTTGTGGTGACCCCCCCAACCATAAAATTATTTTTGTTGCTACTTCATAACTATAATTTTGCTACTGTTATAAATTGTAAATATCTGATACTAGGCAACCCCTGTGAAAGGGTCGTTCGACCCCCAAAGGGATTGAGACCCACAGGTTGAGAACTGGGAGCTACTGGAGTGTTCTTTCCTTACCTCTCAATTTCATATTCTTTTCATATTCTTCAGTGCAAATATCTTGCTTTGGTTTTAACCTGAAAATGAATAGCCATATAGTCTTGGGTACAGAATACCTCTCCTACTTTGTGTGACTTTGGTTAAGGTATCCAGCATCTCATATCCATTATAAATTCATCTGTAAAGTTTAAAAGATTTTTTGTGATTCATTAGAGGCACTTATTCTAGTGCTCGTTCTGTATTACATTATGCATTAGATGGCAGCTTTCAGTAGATGAGATCTTTGCTACTTTGTCTTTGTTTTTCATTTATGCCTATTTGGAATATTTGCTTTTTAATTTGTTTTTGTCAAGTAATTTTCAAAGATAAATTTGGAAATATGCAATTGTGTTTTCTTGCCATAATTTAATCATTGTTGTTGTTTCACAATTTATGAACAGTATGATTTAGCTAAATAGTGAAAGATATTGGTTCTCAAACCCAAGTAGCATGTTAGAATCATTCGGGGAACTTTCAAAAATGGTAGTATCCAGGAACTACCCCAAGCCATTGAATTCAGAATTTCTTGTTGTGGACCTAATTATTATTTTTTAATAGCTCTTTATTTCCAAAGTGGCAACAGTAATATCTACCTGGCCTATCTAACAAAGATGGTCTGAGGATCACATTAAGATATATATTCAAAAGCAATTGATAGAGTGAGAATTGAAATGAAAATGTAAGTTGCTCTTAAAGCATCTTAGAAGTATTTCCTCTGCTCTTGAGGGGTTTATCATTTATTTAAAGAAACAAGACAAAACATAAAAAGTTCAAGATAATATTTCATATGCTGAATGGAAATAGCAGAGAGTAAGTGTGCAAAGAATCCGGTCCCAACCGTACTGGGTAGGCAATCCTTAATGACTATGTGGTTGTGATCTTTTCTAGCACTTATTAATTATTTATAACTCAAGTTTAATGATAAAAGAATAAGGATGATAACATTGGGACTCACTCAGTGAGTTATTTAACAAAATATTTATTGCTTTCTAGGCTTTTTCTTTTTCGAGCCAGTTTGAAGCAGAAGTATAGAGTAGTCGTTGATAGTATAGATGCTTGACTCAATGTCTAAGTTTGCCTGATTTCATTGCTTGTTGGTTGTTTTATGTTGGTAAATTCTTAACTTCACTATGACTCAATATTCTCTCTTTATATAAGAGGGATGATGAGTACATTAATTCCCAGAGTTACAGAAAGAGTTTTAACGTGTTAGTAAGTATAAAGTGCTCTGAACTGTGCATAGCCATAGCGAGAGACATGTGTTTGCTAACATCTTTGCTTATATTCTGTAAAATTCTTCAGTTACTTCAATACAAAGATAATAATTTAAATTAGCTAATACCAATGAAAATAATATATAAAAGAACTAATGTGCCTTTAATCCAAGCCATACTCAGATATATATCAGTTTTCAAAGGTGCCACATTATTTAAGATCAGTCATTTACAACATGGGTGAACCTAGAGGGTATTATGCTATGTGAAAGAAGCCAGTTACGTCTGTTGATCTATTGCACAACGTGGTGACTATGGTTAATAACACTAATGTATTTTTCAAAATAGCTAAAAGAGTAGATTTTAAATGTTTGTCCCAAAGAAATGATATTTGAGTGATAGATATGCTAAGTAGTCTCATTTGATAATTCGACAATGCATTCATGTATCAAGACTGCATAGTATACTCAATTAGTATATGTAATTTTGTTAATTAAAAGTATAATTTAAATAGAAGATTGGAAAAAGTTTTGGAAGACATAATTAGGGAAGTACAGAAAGCAAAGGGAGTATTTAGACCAGTGAGATCTCCCCTAGTTCCATGTTCGAGAATAGCCCTGAAGAGGTAGAGCTTATGATGAGACCTGAAGGACGAGTAGAGCTGGTGATGTGAAGAGCTTGGTTGCAGACCATGGTGTGCACAGAGGTGGTCCATGTGAAGACTAGGAGTGTTCCAGAGAGAGAACAGAAATCAGTAAACACTGTGACCTTATCAGTGAACAAAAGATCCATCCCTATGAGGGTGGAGGTGCAGAATCTGTTGATATGCTCTGGTGCTCATAACGCCCAGACTGGGAGGATGGGTGCAGAATGAGAAATCAACCTTGCCGTGGGAGAATGTTCTGAGGTAACACTAGCAGAAATGAGAGGAGTATGTAGTTTTGTAGCAGTGCAGGGCAGAAGGAAACCAGTTTTTTTAGGAGAGTTGGTGAGGGGAAGGTTTATCAAAAACCATCAAACTGGATGGCATTTGGAATGATTTTTAAAGGAGGAAAGGTTGAGACCTGCGGTGGTATAGGTCCTGGTCATGGTTGTGTGTAGTTTATTTTGTCATTAGCTATGTGTTGACACCTGCCTTATTTGTTCAGCTAGGATTGTGTCTAAGCAGAGCCTCTGCATCTGTTCTTAACCTCAACTGCAGCCTTATCCTTTTACCCATGTGCCGAACACTCCTGGCTTACCTCCGAGGATCCCAGAAGGTAAGGAAAAAAATCCTACTTACAGATTCCAACATAAAAATCAAGTGAAACAGTTAGGTGCTAGTTCTGTTTAGCTTTCATGGTCTGACTTTTGGCTAGGGTGATTTCTTCAAAGAAGATGGTAAGGGCCATGTCAGCTGTCCAGGTGATTACTGAGCTATTCTGCAACATTAGGTAAGGGCAGAGAATAATAGGTAATTGCCACAGGTAGCTGTGAATCCTTACAGAGATTCTGCAGTCAGGTATTGTTAGTTCCATTTTACACATGAGGGAGCTGAGGCATAGAGAGTTTAAGTAGCATAAGCCTAGTGAATGGCAGAACTAAGATGAATCCCAGTTCGAGCTCTATCTGCTATACCATGGCAGGTGAGCAGACTGGAACCCTGTAGCCTGTCAGCAAAAAACTTATGATTGCTGGTGTTGGTAACTTACTGTTTAACACACATGCCCATTTTGCCTGTAATAGGCTTAAAAAAGATGTCTTGATTCAATCATGACGTCATGTGTGGTTATTTAGTGTTATAAAATGAAGGAGGTAGAAAAGAGAAAAGCAGTTGTTCTCTTAAAACTCAGCTAACTTTTTTCTCTTTGATTATTTTTGTGTGAATATGTATGCATTCATGTCAATTCTTAGCTAAGGTAGTAAGACAGTGCTGAATAGATACTGATATTTTAAAAGGAGTTGTTATCTTGAGGTCATTTTGATGTTCTGTGAATTTCAGGTGTCCGGATTTACTCTAATAAAACTTCTCAACCTTTTTATGCAATTATGTTTGGAAACTGTATTTTTAATATGGCGATCTATGGAAATAACTTTTTCTTTCAGTTGCCTACCACTGTAAATGCTAGGTTTTGATCTCTGTGGCTGGCTGCTGGCTTGTTGTGAAGAAAGAGAAGATAAGTGGCAGGCAACAAAAAGTCCCCTCCCCCCCGCAATCTCTCAGAATTTAATAATCTTTAAAGAATTGTCCCCAGTGTGAAACATTGATTCAAAGTGCTTGACATTTTATTTTGTTGGAAGATCCAGCAATAATTTTAAACCAGTGATGAGATTGCATCATTTAAAGATAAATGTATTTTTGACTACAAAAGGAAATAATATTTATTTTAAAATAAAAACATTTCAGAAATATGCACAATGATCAGAGAACGTTTCCCCTAGTCTTACTCTGCCAGAACAACCACTGATGACAATTTGGGGTAAATGTCTGTAGACATGTTAACATATGATGTCATTAACGTCGAACAATATAGGATTGTAGTATAGTTTATGTTTTGTAACTTTTTCACCTAAAAATATATCTTGCACACTTGACCGTTATTAATAATATAACTTTCTCACATTCTTTTTAATGGTTTGGGTATTCCATTAACTAGATTTATCATAATTCATCTCACCAATTTTTTATTAATTGTTTTCTGCCATATTTCCAAATTTTCGATGTCATGAATAATCCGATAGTAAAAAATAGTGTACATATATTTTACATGTTGCATCATTTTTACCATATTAAATGATTTTTATTAGGTTCCCAGCAGGAGAACAAGAAGATTGTTGGATAAAAGCAGAACATTCCATATAACCTGTGGTGTTACTATCTGTATTTTCTCAGGTGAGAAAGCCAACAGATGCTAAATATATTGTGAGAAATATACATTTTTTGAAGGATTAAAGATGTAATTTTATTGTTCTTTATATTATCTGCTATCACCAACTTGAGATTTTCGTATTTAAATAGCTTAGTTTTCTTTTCCATGTGTTTAAAAAGGCTTGTCTGGGGGGACTAGAGAAAATGGGCACGTCTTATGATTTTTTGCACTACAATATCCAAAGTTTGCCTGCCAAGCTGATGATGACTATTTCCTGAAAGCAAATTATTTCATTTAGAATATTGGAAGAAGCACACTTGAAACATTCTTTTTTTTTTTTTTTTTTTTTTTTTGAGACAGAGCCTCAAGCTGTCTCCCTGG